TGATTGCCACTCTGAAAAAATAGATGTAACATATATATGCCTGTACACTATAGTAATATTATTTGTCTGTTTGTCTTTTTTCTTTTTTTTTTTCTTTTTTAGCCATGGCATTGTCAGTTTATTTTCGATCTATGAGTTTGACTGTCCCTCTGGTATCTTTCGCCCCTCTCTTAAATAGTAAATCCACAAAAAGACTAGTAAAATATAAAAGGTATGAACAAAAGTAGATGTTAAAGTAATATATACGAGTTTTAATGTTGTTTTATACACAAAGAGCAGTTTGACGTTAAGTTCAACACCCTTTGCATATGTTTTGAATATAAATAATATAGACCTATAGCTTTGTTACACTATTTCATATAATTTACAAATAATAAATATTTCAAATACTTTTATCATATATTTAATTTAAATTTTGTAACCTTATTATATATTATGAATAAAGGCAACAGTACTATACCGGTCTTAAAAAGTCATAAATCGATTGAGAGAAAACAAATCCGGGTTACAAATCAAAACCGAGGGAAACACATCAACTATAAGAAGAAACATAGGAACAACAGGAACACCGAAGTGCAACAAAACCAAACGCCAACATACATAGAAACGAACTATTTGATAACAACTGCCATATTCCTGACTTGGTACAGGGCTTTTAAAGAAAAAAAATGGTGGGTTGAACCTGGTTTCATGGCATGCAAAACCTCCCGCTTTATGACAATGTTAACAAATATCGCTAAAACACTACGTGACAGAAATACAGCACAAACACAAGCAAGAATATTCATAACAGAGAAACGCACAAACATATAATATAATAGTCGACACAACATGCAAACCACAAGATATCAAAAACAGTGACGCGCTTACGTAAATAACATGCAATCTCAAACTTTATACAATTATTTTCACAATATTCGTTCAAACAATTTTCATGACAATGATGGTATGGAAAGACAATTTTATAATTATTTGGACTAACGATAAGACATAACAGATTATCCAACCGAAACCATATCAGAAACATCAAAATAAATCCATTAATGTTGGAGGTACAAAACACCGAGACACGCCGGACAGCAATGCAAATTCACATTCAGTATGACAGTCATATTCGGGAATATGACAATGATGGTATTGAAAGGCAATTTTATAATTATTTGGACAACAAACGATACGACATAACACATTATTCAACCGAAACCATAACAAAAACATCAAAAATAAATACATGAATTTCATGTCTGAAAATAACAAATTATAGTAATACACTTCCATATATATATTTCAAGTATGTATAAAGAAATTTACTTGGTGCTCCCAAGAGTCTTACGGCACCAAGTTGCTATATGTTTTGCTATCTGAATATATTTTATGATGGAATGTATTATAAGTGTTGTGCTATAATTGTAAATAATGCAACCATACAAACAAGTACATATGACACGCCCTAGCAAGACTGGATATGCAATCAGTGAATCTTTGACTTTGGATCAATATCAAAAGCATCTCAAATTTGAAGGGCATTTATTGCACATTCAGTTCTTTGCTGAATGTTAATAAAAAAAGAGACTATAACATTAACTTAATATATAAAGGACAAAACACGGATCTGATAAAAAATAACTTCAAGGTTAAGTTTTTTTATATGAATCTCTGGCAAACTTGACTTATTGTTTTCGTAATTGATAGTTGACGTCAAACATTTCATTTAATAATCTGTCTATCAAGCTACAACTACAGTAGCACCATGGAACTTTACTGGACTATTGAAGTTAAACTAATGCAGAACTTTCACATTTCTAATTCTTTCATGAACTGTAAAATTTTAACAAAAAAAGTCTGAATTGAATCATAAAATGTAAGTTAAAAATTGCCTGGCATTTTGTGTTGATGTGCTGTGGTTTTATTTTTGTATTCTTGTGTTTTTCATTTTTGCGTTTGTGCTTTGTCTATTTGTCATTTTGTTTTTCTTTGTTGACATATTTGTTTGTTTTTATAGTGATTGAGATTATAACACAATGTTGACTGCTGTACCCCTATTTTTGACATTTTTACCTATTATAGATATATGAAGATGTGGTATGAGTGCCAATGAGACAACTCTCCATCCAAGTAACAATTTATAAAAGTAAACCATTATAGGTCAAGGTACGGCCTTCAACACGGAGCATTGGCTCACACCGAACAGCAAGCTATAAAGGGCCCCAACAATTACTAGTGTAAAACCATTCAAACGGGAAAACCAACGTATTATGTCTGTTTGTTTTGTTCACACATTGTTGTCAATACAATGGAATTTTATGCGACTGTCATTCAAGTGAGAGGTTTAGCTAGCTTTAAAACCAGGTTTATAATCCACCATTTTCTACATAAAGAAATGACTATATCAAGTCAGGAATATGACAGTTGTTTTCCATTCGTTTGATGTGTTTGAGCTTTTTATTTTGCCAATTGTTAGGGGAATTTCTGTTTTGAATTTTACTTGGAGTTCGGTATTTTTGTTGTTTTACTTTTTGAATATTTGCAAAGAAGCCCACGTCTTAATTATGTAAAAAAAACAGAGAATTATAAATGCACCAGTATAATGTGAAAGGTCTTATCGGAATATTGTATTACTCAACGATATCTTTGTATGCAAAGTAAGAAACCCCAAATGAGTGACATACTTTATACATGTAAACCTTTGTAAGATATGCTGGATTTTAAACGTTTTCTTTCCGTCAAAGAATTTTGTTTGACGCAATATTTCACACACGATGTAAAGGTGTCATATTTAAGTTTTTGGGATGCAATTCATAGCTTGCATCCATAATAATTGCATTTATTCATATTTTAGGGGAAAAAAACCTCTGTATTTTAAAACATGTTCAAATCAAAATAATTTCATAGAAGAAAATTATGTTTAGTTTAACTTGTTAACCCCCGTAATTTAGTGGTTATGGTTTATGTTTTTTATTTTCGTAAATGAGTTTGGCATAATTTCAAGCTGTTAATTTTCTTGTTTGAATAATTTCACAATTAATTATGTTTTTGCCTTATTATAGCATACTATACATTATGGGTTTTGTTCATTGTTGTAATGGTGAAACATATATGTTTAAATAAGTTATTTATGATTAAAGGTCAACTTTCCGACAGGTATTAGTGTTAACCTGTCTCGGTAAAAACCACGTAATTTTTAAGAAGTATCTCTGTTCAATTTATGACGGCGGCATCGCAGATAGTCACCAAAGGAATTAGCGATAGCGTACTAATTAAGCAGTTTCCATTCCTTTTCTACAGCGCTCCCCGGGTTATAAATAAGTGCTAATAAATCGTTGTAGTCCCTGTCAATATTATACTTCCATGCTCTAATATTACTCCACTCCCGGTTACGCTTGACCACAGAGATATCGCGTATTCGTTGATATAAATACTTACCGACAATATCGGCTCGTGCCAACTAATTAAATGGTAACTAGACCAATATATTAAAAGTACAGTAGTTATTGGATTTTTATATCAAATACGGAAATTAACATTGTTTAGCATGAAATAGTGTTTAATAAGTAATGACACACTATGACAGGAAACGGTCTATTTTAGATTGAACAATTTCTCGTTCAGACTCAGAGACACAGATGTCCAAATTATTAAATAAACACAAAATTCTAAATTAGTTTTAGATAAAATGGCCATCTAGGACGTTTTTCCTATCTAAGGGGTTTTCGTTTGTTTTTTGGGAGTATTTTCTATGAACCGGAAAATTCATAAAACTTCATTATCCAATCAAAAATACTAAATTTCATCGTCCGTGCAATGCTCGTCACTTAGTATGCGTTAACCCTCCGTGTAACGCTCAACACACAACATGAGTGCATCATTCACAGTGCATTCATCGTGCATTCACCATTCACTCTCCGTACGTGTATCGTCCATACGTGTATCATTCGTGTGGTCAGCTTCAACTTTATAAGGTCTGTACATAAATTTGAAAAATGTCAGTATCTACAGTTTTCAGCTATCTCGAGTTCTATTTGTAATAATTTTTGCGCATAATAATAATTTACTTGAAAAACACTAAGTCATTTAACATCATATTGTTATTTACTTTTGACAAGTAACACATATGGCAGCCGATGTAAAATTTATATCCTGGTCAGGTATTTTGGCTCAACGGTTAAGATAATATGAGTATATAACTTTTTTTTTCATATTGTTATTGTATCTCTGTACCGATGTTATGCATTGGCTGTTTGGGAATAAAGATATATATATGCACACGTATAAAAATTGCGGTTTTTATCCAACGCAATCATATAGGTTTGAACGTTGTTTTCAATTTAGACTTGTTTAAATTTTTTCGTTTGGGCTTGTATTATATTTGCCTTCGGGTTTATATGATCCGTTCATCCTATTTCGACTCTTTCAAAATTCAAGATTCTATCCTAAATTGAGGTAAATTATATGGCCTTCCAAAAACCCTTTCGATTCCTAACATCACTGAAGAGACATTAATTGTCGAAATCCGGATATGGTGTATAAATTTTTGCACCTCATGTTTGCGGTATACCATCTTTTCCGCAAGTTTATTGTTTTATGTTTGGTAATAAATTTATAATTAAGATCCATTTTGTTACATCTGTGATCCGTTTATTTGGCAATCGCCAATGGCAGTCAGCATGGTTTAAGAACATCAGTTGTTCGACCTGCTAGTCAAATGCGCTTTGTTAAAATATACTTTTTCACTTTTTTGGTCTTTTGAAAAATGTTGTTTGTGCTGTATTTAGACCCCTCTACCAAGAAATTTGTTTTGCATGCACACTTATAAAAATATATATATATATATATATATATATATATTGTAAATAAGACCCATTTTGATGCTAACGAATTCCTAAAATTCTGACATATACATGATATATTTATTCATGTTTGTTTGTATTTTAAAACAATCTTCAGAAATATTGGTTATGCTACATTTATATGTGTTTGAAGCAACTTATTTAACATTGTAGGGATGAATATCAACATGAAAAGACTGCAGTACACACAAAAGGAATTGTACAGGTATCATGTTTATCATTGTATTCATAGAAAGGAGTAAACCAGTCTATTTTGCACAAATTTTGATTTTAAAACGAGATAATGGTAAAAAGGTATCACAAAAGATTACATCGATTCAAAACAACAGCTTTCATTAGGTCAAAATTAACGCTTGTAACTGATAAGTATTTGTAAAACGTTTTTTACAATACAAAACAATACTCAACCTCAATCTAATTAAGGCATTTCAACTCTTCAAAATATCGCTAGAAAATTAAAAAAAAAGGAAGTGCCAGGGTAGTTTAATGTTGAAAATGCAACATTTATGTGCTGTTGGATAATGTAATATTTCTAACTGTCTAATGTTTCTTGTTTAAAAAGTCTTTGTATCTGGGCAATGTTTAAATTGAGGGAAGATAATTCAGAGCCGTACATAAGACTAGTGGTTGTTCGAAAAATATTCCATACTTCTGTGATGTTTATTGGAATAAAAATTCTTTGAAAGGTGTGGAATGAATACAAATCGAGGTCAGCCATGGTCCTGTAACATTCCTTATAAAAAACAAAAACGTTTTGTACGTTCATGCAGGACCACTCTTGTTGGAATGACAATCCCTGCGAGTTAAGTTAATTGCATGTTTTCAGTTTTCTATTTACTTAATTATAATATTTTGATCTTAAATGTTTAGTTCATAATATACGAATTTAAAGTATGGTTTCAGAATTTAAATGCAATATTTTGTCTGTTCAAGCCTATTATATTTGGATGATTAACTTTTTTACTTTAGTTTGTGTTCCGTAACGTTAAGTCTGTAAACAATTTTACAGTAACTTATATAGCATGTGCTGTTCTCATTGATCACCTTTATAGAGAAGGAACACGTATTCATTTTATCATTTGATAATATGAAGCTGAATCCCCCCCACCCCCCCCCCCCCAAAAAAAAAGGATTTCAGAGCATAATATAACCAACATGAAAAGGATGATACGACATATCGTAATTCTGTCTTATTTACATTAGGTTAAGATACCAGAAATTACAAGTATGTTTTATTTAAAGGCTTCAAGTGAAGCAATTGAATTGTGGAAACTCACGAAGGTTACCCCACTTAACTGTTTAATGAATTTAAATCATTAGTCAACTGTCCAATTTTATTTCTGTAAAAATACTGTAAAATGTCAAAGTCATGAAGTTTATGAGTGAAGAAAAGTTTTCAACGTGCATCTATAATCATTGAAGGAAAAATGTACTTTAGAAAGAAATCTTCGTGTTCCGAAGTTACGAATTAGCAGTTTGATACAGCTTTCCCAGTGAGACACATTAGGTAATTCCGTTAACATTCGTATATTTTGTACAACAAATAAAGGCAACAGTAGTATACCGCTGTTCGAAAGTCATAAATCGATTGAGAGAAAACAAATCCGGGTTACAAACTAAAACCGAGGAAAACACATCAACTATAAGAGGAAAACAACGAAACAACAGAAACACTGAAGTGAACAAAAAACAAACGACAATGCAACACACACAGAAACGAACTATAAGATAACAACTGCCATTTTCCTGACTTGGTTCAGGACATTTTAAGAAAAAATGATGGGTTGAACCTGGTTTTGTGGCTAGCCAAACCTCGCGCTATTATGGCAATGTTAAATATAACACTAAAATGACAACATTACATGACAGGAATACAGTACAAATAAATGCAAGAACATTCAGGACAGAAAAATACACAAATAAACAATACAATAGTACATTTCGACACAATATAAAAACGAACACGTAAAACAACATAGGACAGCACAGAAAAACAGCACAACAGAACCACGAACTGTCTTTCACACGACTGGATCAACGCCACAAAAGTGAAGTCACAGGTAAATTTCTAAAAATTTGATACAGTTCAAGATCAGGTTTGTAATTACGTCATTTGATGTATTTTATAACAATTACAGGAATATTAATACAGAATTGTGTTAGTAATTAGATAATTAATTGTATTATCTAGCTATGTCGGTATTTCTTCTAAATCAAACCGTAAAACAAATAAATCGTGTACATATAGTTGCTCTAAACTAAAATCTTATAAATGAACTGGGTGATTAATTATCTTTACTTTTACATACGAATAGAAAATAAAAAAAAAATAGAATTACAACTACAAACGATAAGACATTTAACATTATCCGATCAGAATTACAAATACAACATCATAACTAAATACATGAATGTTGGATAAACAAATACCGTGACACGTCTTATAGCAATGCGAATTCACACTCAGCAAAACAGTCATATTCGGGAATAGGTCATGTTCGGTACTTAAAAGACCAGATTTCTTTTAATATCCATGATATGTGTAAGTGATAACTCCAAGATTGTCACTCTTTTCAAAGTGATGATTAATTTGTATATGAGATCGTATAAAATTCATCAACGTAAATAAATGAAAATGTATATTAAATTACATCAAGCTGTGACAATTATCATATTGTTTACACATATGACAATTTAACTTGGTTTTGATGCTTGTCACTTTATGTTTTCCTGTTTACTTGTAAGCAAACCCAATGGGTTGATTTGGATAAAAAAGACGAAGACAAACTGGAATATTGGAAAAACAAAACTATGATAGGCCAAAATGGTGTTCACGATGAAGAAGAATTAATACGAGTAAATGAAGATCATAAGGTAAAATATATTTGTACCCCAATTAATTACATTAATAATCCATTTAATAATGATCATTTACAACCAGTATGGTTAAAGATATACTTACAATGTAACATATTACTGATAAACCGAATACTTATTTCTTTAATGTATTTTATTTTAATAGAACACACATGTTTTTTGTTTTTGTTTTTTGTTTGTTTGTATCAATCAGTGTTGTTTTACTTGGATAGTTTACTAAACATTTATTTTCGTGACTTTAACATCGGTATAATAATGCTGTGTCTGCATTCAGCAATTCAGCTACTTTAATATTATCGTTTTCATAACAGTGTGGACGAGACCATTTCTTGTCGCGCTCAGGTCTTCAATTGACTGGGTCAGTTTAGGTGAACGTTCGTCTGTAACGCCCATGCACATATATGACACTCAGTGTCGTACTTTTATCCGTTTTCCGACTCTAATTTCAATTATAATTTTTTTTCGGAAAGAAAGTATTTTTTTTTCCTTATCAAATTTTTTTTTAGAATCAACTTGATTTTAAAAAAATCGGTGCAACTTACAACCACACACAATAATGGACGGCAGTTATATATCAACTTCGTCCTTTTTAAGATCGCAATGAAAATGTTTATATAATATATGAAAAATCCGGTCAAAATTTGCTCGCGGCGGAAACAAGCAACACCTTAAAATGGTTTCAAATTGAAATAATTGTTATAATTTACACAACGTTACTTTTCAAATTATTTAAAACATCTTTACAAAGAACACATTGTGACTTCTAAATGAAGTATAACCATAAAAGCTCTTTTCCTTTTCTTTTTTCTGTTGTTAGTTTAACTCAGTTATTTTGTGTCATGAATTGATACTGATGTCATCTTGTATGTTTTTATAAATATGGATACGGTCGTGAGACACAAACAAAGGACACAAAATTAAAATAACGGACAACAGTCATTCTTCAACAATAGAATGCGTTACTAGAAAATAAGTTTTGTAAGTGGACGACCCAAATTCGTGAGATACAAGAATGATATATCGACGAGTACTGCAATTTAGTTTATGACTACATGTATAACTTTCTTTAGTCAAAGAGACAAAAAGGATCACACACACGTGTAACGGTTTCCCCTTTACATAAAAGCATTATACAAACAGAAAAGTCTTTTAGTTAATTATATATACATATAGATATATACATAAATAGAGGCAATTGAGTTGTATAGTACTTGAATATCCAAGGCAAACTGGTCATATAAGTTCTCTATATGACTGAAAGATTCAAACGATGATCCATGTGAAAAATATCAAGTTGAAAAAAAATGATTTTTTTATTTTCCGACACTCTTTTCACAAACAAATCCTATGCATTGAATAAACGGTAGATTACTCTTAAACGATCATAATTTGGGAATATTTTTTCTCTTAAGATATTTTGTGAATTAACCCCATCAACTTAAAGTTATTTACAATAAAAATCGAAATGTGATAATGTATTTTTCGATTATTTTATGATATAAGCTCTGAACATTTATTACTCTCTAAAAATCTCTGTATTTAGCTGGTATATCTCTTTTCGAACTTAAAAAAAAGCTTATTTATTACGACCACATTCCCTCAACAGTGCCCTATTTTTCACTCTGTCAGTCAAGTAGTCTTTATTTCCGTCTTTTCGTCTTTTCTTTTATTCTGTCTGTCTCTTGTCCGTCTGTTTATCACGATTTTGTTTTTTATTTGAAGAAAAAAAATTGCTGTAAATACTATGCATTTGAAAAAAAAGGTTGAGACAAATGCCTTCACAGCTACATATCAATCACAATTGACTTAATATATAGCCAGTATTCCACAGTGTGCCCTGACAAAAACAGATGTTAAAGAAATTATGGAGAAGTGTGGAATACACCTAGTTTTTTGTTAAAAATCCTTTTATTGAAAAACATCAATTCGTGCTAGGATTATGACTATAATTAATATATATAGTTGTGAAATGCTGTTACAAACTACGAAAAACTACGAAAAATTTTGATCAGATCTAAACGACTCTTGACAATTATGTGCAAAATATTCTTAATCAATTTCTGGTGACCAAGTTTACCTAAATCGATACACCTTTAACTTGTTTTATTTTATCTGTATTTGTTATTTGTTTTTGCGCTTCAAAAACACATTAGCAAGTGTGGAAATTCACTGAAATAGACTCAGTTTAATTCATCATTTTGTTTTAGCTCGCAGTAGCAGATGTGTACAGTCCGGGACAAGCAGGTATATTGTTTGTCAGATTTAATGAAATGGAATCAAATAATCAAATACATCGTTAATGTCTATTCTTTGTTGAAAATACTGAAATTATTTTATCAGTTTACGCTTGAAAACCTCAGAAGATTATTATTTTATAAGTATTACATTTTTGCCCTTGTTCAACCTTCATCCATCAAGAATTTTTCAATAAACTAGGTAAGGTGTAGAACATTTTAAATATTACACACACCATATTGTTTTAGCACAGAACTATCGTATTCTACTAGGCAAATATGGCGTGGCTGTATATTTACTGTACAGTTTATCACTAGCCTACCTCGATTCGTCCAACTCGGGTTACAAGAACCTGTCGACTTCAGTCGAATTTCAGTCAAATCTCCTTAGTTTGGCCCTTTGGACCTACCCAAATTAAACGGGGAATCAATCCTGAGTTAAGTAGATTAAGAAGAGTAACAAAATGGGGAAAAACCATTATAGCAAAGAAGAATATACCAAAAATAACTGACATTTTACAAAATTCAGCTAAAGAAAGAGAGCTGATAAGGGGACAATTCTTTTTGGTGCAATTTAGTATTGTCATGCGTAAAAACTGTCGGTGATATTCGTCAATAGAACAGATAGAATATAATTTCGGCATAATTAGTAACTAAGAGGTAAATTTGAAATTATTACGAAAATCAATTCCCTTTATTGATCAATATCACTAATGGGGGCTTTCTAGAATTTCCGATCGTTCACGAACATAGAGGTGTATGCTACTGCAGGAGATATGATAATCGTCTCCTTCCGTATACCTGTCCGTCCATCTACCTATTCGTTCGCCTGTCTATCCGATACACTTTTATACTCTGAGATCGTTTAACAGCTAAAATGCTTTCACACTTGGTTTATTAGTCGTCATATTCTCTTTACCGTGCTGTATCGTCAAGTATGATTTTTGTTTGGAATATCTACAGTTTTATGACTTTGAGCAAGATTTTTTCCACCCCCCTTCGCCAAAAAAAAAAAAAAACGTTGGTGAAAAACTTGATGTTTTTTTCCTGCAAAATATCTTATTCCTGGAACTTCTTGTCTTCGTAACGGATACAAGTTATTTAATTGTGTTACTAATTTAAAAATAAAGTTGTTTATTGTCGTCGTTGTCATAAGAAGAAATGTAATAACCGCTTCTTTATCAAAATCGTCCATTGTGAGAGTCAACTGGATAATATAGTTTTCAGTTCGATTAGGGAAGGTTGTTTTAAATACATATGGAGAAAGGGTTGCTTACATTTATTTTGTTCTATGAAATTGTCCAGAAATCTTTAATCCCCTTATCAAATTATGTTTCCTTATTATGAAAAATGTTGGTCAGATCACTTTCATAGAATAGGGAAAATCAATTACTTTTTGAGACGTGACTGTGGATACAATAAGTTAAGATTCGTAAACGATGGTGTTTTGCTATACAGCAATAAAAAAAATCCAGTGATTCCATGTTTTCTTTTTTTTATTTCAAACATACATAATCTATGTATCATATTTCTGAGAAAAAAATATCGCTTACCTGTTTCTAGCCACATAATTGTACGTTTTCTGCTTATAATACAGAATAGGAAAAACAACAACATATACGTATGGTGAACAAGCACTGTGGCTTATATATTTTATTATATTTAGAAAATAGTACAATATAAACTAAATTTTAAAAAAGAATAAAAAAAGATATTCCATTCACCTTATTGAGGCATCAATGAACAAAAAAACTGTAAATTGCAGTATGGAAGGAGGCTATCGACATACTAAAGGATACTTTTATGAAAAAGAAGAAAAGAGCTAGGAAAAGAGGACGGTTCACTACAACAAATACAGTTTCGTTCACAAAGTGGTTACCTGCTAATTTTCCCGTGGAAGGTGTCATGTGTGGTTGTGGAAGAAACCTTAAAACACCGAAATCGCTTTTATGTCACTTACGAAGAAAAAGCTCCACCGCCCGAAAAAATGTAAAGTTATTTAAAAAGGGAATATAATCAAAACAATTTACATGCTTTTGAAGATGTTACATAGTACCATGCATATCTTATTTTAAACACATTTATGACGGATGAACATTGTAGAATATAAAAGTGCAATATATTTACAATTCCTTAACTAGATTAATACTTCAGAGGATCTGCTTTGTTTTTAACTCTTTTTCATAGACGCTTTTTAAAAAGCAAACTCAAATGTCATGGAACAGATAGCGAATAATAAGATGAAAATAAAAAAAGGTGCATCATGTTCTTTTATCTTTCAATACATCTCATAAAATCAGTACATTTGCAACTTATCATCGATTATAATTACCCAACTGCAAACACGACAGATCAAAAGAAAAGAACAAGGACTGTTTATCATTTCGTTTTCCTGACTGCACCTTTCTTTGTGTTTGAAAAGGGTTCATACAATCTGATTAAAATATAGACTCTGTGTATCCGAAATTTTCTTACTAGGATCTGAAAGCGCTCCATTCTACTTTCTGTATAAATACCTTTCGGGGTCTTTTGCTTTTTTTCGGATTATTATTGATGTGTTTGAGCTTTTGATTTTGCCGTTTGATAAAGGACTTTCCGTTTTGAATTTTCCTTGGAGTTAGGTATTTTTGCTATTTTACTTTTTACACACTTTCGAAATTAGGAAGGCTGACATGTCATTGGCTGATGTAATAAGTACCAGAACAGAAACAAAACGGATTGTTGTCAGATCCTTGTAAGCAAAGCTTAGACACAGGATATTATGTTAAGCTGATCGGGAACCATGTTGCATTTTTGTTAGGTAATTAATAGGTTAACTGATATTTTATTTCAGAATACATTTTTTGTTTCTTCTTGAAATATTTTTTCATTCATTGTCTTTGAAAATTGCGTTTTCTTTTCAAACTTTCACATTCCGCCATCATAAGGGTCGGAGTATTTATACAACAAATAATCTTTTGATTAAGATAAGAGACAGTAAGCAATCTGTTATTATGTGATATGATATTATTGCCAATTAGACACACTATCTTCCATATACCAATTGAAGAGGAAGCAAGCAACTATAGGTCATCGTTAAACCTTGAACAATGGGCAACACCTTAACCGCATTGTAAAAGAAGGCCAAAGATACTTCATGCATATTTAAATTCTAATTTGAAAATAAACTGACAATGCCATGGCAGGTGATCCGGAAGGGTGAGATGATCCTTATGCATATGCGACACCCGTCGTGTTACACCTGTGCAATACGTTTTAAAGATTTATCGATTGATTAAACATTACAAATTAGCCAATAGGTAATTGACTCTTTTCTAACCCTAAGATATCACCAAATTAATAAACCATCAGTAAAGTAATTGTTCTAACCCTGAAATAGAAACACGATTCTCATGACAAATGATATACGAGACTATGACCGGTATAGACAACACAGACATTGCAAAAATTATAAACAAAAAAGTGTAGCACTTAAAACTAAAGCAAGAGCAACACGAACCCCTTCTTAAGAAAAATCAGAGGTGATCTCAGGTGCTCCTGAAAGGTAAATAGATCCTGCACCACTTGTGGCATCCTTTTTGTTATTCATGTAAGTACAAACCCGGTGATAAGTCGCATTCAGTAGATCATATTCCAGGAAATGACGATGGGATTGTGGTTACGACAATCGGAACATATCCATCGTCATCTGTGAAACAGATAAATAATAACAGTCAACGGATTCGTGATGGCGTCCGTAAAAATTTCGAAGGTATGATTTCAAATTCATCACTTGGAACTCTTGTTTGTAAAGGTTCCTTATAAAGCATCTATCAAGGTAATCACGATGGGAAATGCTAGTTCTAGAATAAAGTATTAACTGGGAGATAGAAACTTTATATGCAGGCTACATGTATAAAAAGCACCGATACCAGATGTTAAACAATTCAATAAAAAAAACCCTGATTTACGATAAAACAATAAACGAAATACGACTACAATTGAATTACAGAATCCTACTTGGGAAAGGCACATACAGAACGCAGCGGAATTAAACATGTTCGCGAACGTATCACCCATAACCTTGAACAGTAATGTAACAGGACACCATATGAACAATCTGTAAAAATCATTTGGAAATAGTTTGATTTAAAATCGACATGAATCACAAAAATCTACTAACAAAAAAGAAACACAAAAAAAAAGAAAAAAACCAAAGCACCGATCAAAGGAAGCTCGCATAAACTTAACGCAAGTTGTAACATATCAATCGATAAAAATTCAAAAGATTCAGTGTACAGATGTAATAAGCGCTCTTAAATGAGTATGACTTTGTGCAAAGTCAACATATAAGTATCGATCGGTTGTAGGATTATAAACATTCATTAACTTATCTCAATATAAAATCATTTTTGATTTAACTAAATCAATGTTAGAACCGATAAATAGAATAGTCAAATATCTTACTACAGTGTTCAATAGATAACCTTTGAGAATACGCGTATTCAATGGTTATACTGTTAACATGGATGGTATATAAATTAAAGATTCCTATAAACTAGATTACCCTGAAAATAAGGATGTGATATCCCGTGTGTTGCCCATCAAGGTATACTACCTGGACAAAATTGCTGGTTTTACTGGTAGATCAAAACTGCGGATCCTTCCTGGTCACCAGCTGAGGTCAGCCCACTATTTCAATGTATTCATGTTGCCAATATTTAGTATTTTTGTAACTTTTTGTCTCGATGGTAAATATTTTTTTCTTCAAATTTTTGACTTATTGCTCCTTTGATATGATCCCGCCCATTCAATGGAAATAAAAAAAATGACTTCAGAAATTGTTTCGCCTTATATGTAGCATATTGGATTGAAGATGAAAAAAGAAAAAGACATTACGACGGCCAAAACAGATAACGTAAATCACCATGTAGAGAACATTTGTATGGTCACTTGTTATAACCAGGTGAAGATATCAAAATTCCAATCCCCATTCCGATATTGATAAAAAAAATTAACTATACCTCTATCATGTCTATGGCTAATTTTAATTTTACAAGGTTTTCACTGAAAACCTTTCAATGAAAAGTAGATTGGTTTGGATGATTTTCATCTTTGCCGTTCATAGGCAAATGCCTTGATTAATTTGAAAATAGAATTAAATGTCGATTCCGTGAGACAACTGAGTTTGCTGGAGCCAAACATTTTTAAATTCAAATATGTTGCTTATTATATTTTTTAATTTTGCTGTTTCGGTGTTATTATCACTGACTGATTTGAAAATTATTTGTTTGTACAATTATATTGTAATTTTCAATTCATATTGATAAAACTTACCGTCATGATGCATATACAATGTATATACAGAACGAAAACATGTTAATGTACTATGAATATCAAACCTTCTTTGTGTACAATGTCGATTTACTGAGCTGGATTTTTTGCACAGTCGACCAGTATTTGCTTTTACTCACAAACGCCCTGTGCTTTGTAGATTTTAAATTTAAAGTCTTGACGTGACCAGGCAGGGAAACAAACATACAACCACCTACAATTATGGCGAGTACACTACTATGAGACCAAGGTGATTGATTTAATAATGACAATAAAATGTTGGAAAACCAAAGTTTGCTTTCATTTTGACAGTTATTGTAATTGTAGGTAATCTATCATTTGGTAATCCATATGAATTTTTTAAATAGTTTACTTCGTTCGAGTTTTTACAAGAGCGTCTTGAATTTTCAGTGAATTTGAATTATTTTAATCATACAGCTTTACAGCATCCACTACATCTGTGACATTCTCTATTCAGTTTCAAACAAATGAATTGCACTCATATGTTTTGGTTTGATAATCGATTAACTGATTAAACTAAATATAAACCATACGATTCATGAATACAGTTAGTATAAAACACTGTACAAACATGATTTTTCTTACGTCATTTTCTTCCGGTGGATAAACTCAAAGGCAATAATACCACGTCTGATTATTTTAGTATGGGATTTGGTTGAAATATCCCTAAACCGATTTGAGATGGAATATTAGACGTCAAGGTAAAACCGGAAAATTATAATATGGAATAATAAAAATCAAATTGGATTGAAAACAGGTGCGTATATTGGTAGGCGCTAGCTATAGGTGCGTGATTCATTCTGTCTGAGACTTTACACATTTTTTGGACTTATGTTTTGTTTACTGTGGTCAATTGAAATATCATATTACCGGAAAATAAATCTAAGAATTAAACAGTCATCTTGATTTGAACATCATTTGACAAGTCTGAAGCTACAAGTGTCAAGTCTTGTTTAGAGGTGAAGCTATTATGTAAATACTTTCTTATTGTGAATTTAGTACTGCTGAGATTTGTCACTTCTAGTCAGTCTGAAACTGTTCAGTAATTTTGCACACACTTCCGTGCACTGTTGATTTGTACAGATGAATATCAACAACTGATCAATCTGAACAGGTCTTAATTGACTGCAAGCGATTGAACTGTAACAGTACTTAATTTACCTCAACGGATAAGTAAGCACCATGACTGAGAGACTGAACACGACGTTTCTTTTTATTGGTCAGCTGTTACGACCGGTTGAGATGAAATGGGTATTTTGTAGATCAAAATCGATTTACTGGTGCATGTCTAAAACATTCAACATCGGAAGTGGAAATTCTGAGTTAGTAATATTTATTTGTGAATAAATACGTCAGACTTGAGCAATTGGAATTTGTGTATATCAGCGATTGGAACATTTCAAATATTTTTTGATATCGTGTTCTCTTTTGTGAGGATATGGATAATTATTGAATTATTTATCTTGAACACAATGACATTCAACACTTTTATGATCAATCGATACTGGTAATTAACTGTGATCGCACTTATTAATTATTCAATGATTCTTTCTTCTCATCATAATTAATTATGATATCAATCAAATTTATAAAATCCTTGTTCGGGACATTTATGCTCTGACAAACCATTTACCTTATATGCTTACTTTGAATTAACAACAGCTTAAAGTCACATGATACTTTAAATCTAAAACAAAAGTTGAAAGTGCTTTATCTACTTGAATGGCTAAGTTTAACTATAAAACAGGTTTACGTGGAATTTTTTGTACATGAACATCTTATATCTTCCTTAATGTACCATTTTTGAATATTTGTTTTCTCGTACTATCATTCGCCGACATCTTTCTGTATGCAGTGAGTTTAGCTACGAGACCTCTCGTTAGAACGCCGGCCACCTCAGCGCAAGTGCGAGGAAAAATTCGCGATGAAA